AATCTACTTTTGTCCATGTTCATAAACAACCTGACATCACCAAATTGGTCATCTACCAATCCGGTTTGAATACCTAAAAGATGTACTCGACGATTGTATTGTACAGAAGTAATATTTTGAATGCTATGCAATGCACCATTTATTTTATTATTTTTTTTAATAATTGTGATTATACCAAAACTACATATCCATTTCTTCTAAATTTATATCAATATTAACTAAAAACTCAAACATTATTACACCATGCTTCATATGGTCAGTAAAATATGCTCAGCTCATTTCTCCTTACAAAACCAACATTATTTACAATTACAACAACATTGTATTTTTTCAACTTTGTGTGGACGGACGCATCATTAGGTGAGTTTGATATATTTTCCTCCAGTACAACGACTTTTGCGTTAACCTCAACCATCTTGCTGTGAACTCAACAGAGGAGAAAGCCTACAAAAACACCTACCTGTGACTAATTTTAAGAGAACGACAAGAAAGTAAACTTCTTGACGAATTACGGCTCAAATACCGCACATTTCATTGTATTTTATTCGACACCAACAGTGTAAGGCAATGCAAACAACTCTGTCTGTACATATGTACGTCTCACACCCTTCCCTCCTACTTACTTATTCAACATTTCTCCATAAACGCTCCAAGTTGGCACAATCCAAATCAAATATACACCCTTTGACGATTACCTATCGTTCCGTGTAATTTACAATTGTAAAATCATTCAACCCTAGCCAACCAGCATTTATTCCCACTCACATTTAGAACTTATGTCACTGTTGCATTGTGAGTTTACTTGTGCAGAAACGAATAATAATCCAACAATTAATCGAATGTTGAAGGATGAATGCAATTACAGATGAGTGATGGGTAGTGTTTGTCTTGGATTCATTTCTATGTAACATCCTCCCTTGCATCCAACTAAAACTAGACCAACTTACTTACTCAAACCACTCAATTTGATTACAGATTCACTGTCATCCATGCAATTCAATTCTGAATTCACAAGAGAATCGTATGCAAACAACTCAAATTTAAGCAATTCAGTCTGTTGATATCAATCGCTCGGTTGTGATGCTGTAAATCGGCTCAGGAAGAGGAAACACTGCGAAATACATGGCCAAAGATAAAAACCACAATTTGACCTATTCCAATAATGGTTATGCTGTATAGTCGTCCGAGAATTTAATTAAAGCAAATCTCGAGAGAAATGAGTAGACGTTGAACTGATGGATGGATGATGTTTTTTGGATTACGGATGCGAATGATGGGATAAAGCTATTGCATCTTGATTGGGTACGACGATGCATGACAATGCACATACAGAGTGCTCGCGTCCTATTATTATTGGTATTATACGAGTTCACTCCGTACTGTGGTTTGGTTTGATTACTAACTGTAAAGCAAGCCCAATTAACACCACCTTGTTATGTATTTGTTGTGTGTTGTAGGGTAGTAGGCCCTCTTTTGTGTGGTTCTAGGGCACTTAATCGCCCACATTTCCTACCGTGCACATTTAATACCCCAGAGTTCATGCCCCCCCAATAATGCTGAGAAATGCGAAATAAGTAAGCTGGATAAATATCAGTTCCATCTTCCTTCCAACTTTTATGGACCTGGTTTTGTGTGATAGAAGAAGTATTTCAAGTAAAACCTGTCTGACAAAAGTCCAGGAATAAGTACATCTTGAAAAGGGTGGTCTACATAGTTGATGGCACAGATATTGACAGGACCAAAAAAATTACTTTATGCTATCTTCAAACAGCACTTTTCAACCACATGTAGTGTCCGTTACTCTTATATAAACATCGGAAATCGGAACATTGTGACAACTCATTTCCGGTCGGTCGGCGAAACTACAGACGAAACTACAAAGTAAGAATAGACAAAGCATATGTAAAATAAACTGTGGCATTCAATACAAACAGAGTTTATTGGACTAACTCTCAGGTAACTTTAATACCTATATTTAATTTACTTTATACCGTGAAAACTTTCAAAACATAAAATGGATCAATTTACTCGAAAGCAAGATGAAATATATAATAATCAAAATTGCACTATTTTCATTAGATTAAATAGTGAGATAGGTATTTTGATGCTCTATTTGTAAAGGAATTTGAGAGACACGCACAAGACGGCGAGACAGAGTCCCACAGTTTCCTCAAAATTCACGTACATACAAATATAATCAAAATCTACATGGCCTGTAATAAATCGCAGGATAAATTATCCATGTGAAAATCATCTCATTCATAGCAAGACCTCGGCCACAAAAACCGTTTCGAATTAACTGACACCCACCCAGCCACTTAAATACCTATGGAGAATTTTTAACTTAAATTAACCCATGGAAAATAGAATAAGCATGTATGTTAGACTATGTTTGTTGGGTTACATCCGGCGACGTAAAAAGTTGTTTTGTATAATAATGCTCTCTGTATCTTGGTTGTGCTCAACTTTATTGTAATATCTGTATAAGAACGGATGGACGAAATGAAGCCATTTTAAATGTAGCCTTTTTATGCATACAGTATGATTAAATGATTAAAATTCCCTTTAGAGAAATAAAAATCGACAGTACTTCAAAATTGTTGCACGAATTATTGTTGCACGACGGACAACAAAAAAGTTTATGCACCCTGGTATCTACCGGATTTAAATTCACCAATGACAATAAATGCAAGTTAATTTAAAATGTGTGCTAGTCGGTGGTACGTGTTTAGAAAGTATAGAAATATTTGCATTAATAATTTAATATAATCTTAAATAATCTAATATACATATAAACATGTACATGTACGTATCACACACAAAGTGAGAGGAGATTTGTTTTCAGTTAAGACGTCTTAACTTTTAAAGTTTGTAGACTACAAATTATAGTTCAATATAAACGTACATATGACAGTCTTCAAAAATCTGAATGTCCTTGCATACAACTATATGCTTTGTTGAGCTCAATATGTCTTAGCTGATCTCGATGGTTTATCCGGTTGAAATTAAGTGCTTCAGAGAAAGCGACTAAATTTTCAAATATTTGTTAACAGGTGAATTCGCAAACAAATTAACTCAACTGGGTATCCATTACAAGGATTGTTGCTAATTAATCCAATATAAAATGGGTTGTGTATTATTACAGAATTTGTCAACTGTATTTTATTTCATTTGGGAATTTAACAGATTTTATCTGAATCCTGGTTGGTTGGCTTTATTTGTAAGTAAATTTCTTTGTTTGTTTATTTGTTTTTCTTCTGACACATTATTGCGATTGTCTGTCTCAGCCTTCATTCCAAGCAGCAACCTTGTGAGTAAGATGGAATTTAATCGATAAATGTGAAAAGAGGGCGAACAAGTCTGGTGGTTGGTTTTGTGAGCCGGTTTACTCTATCTGTAACGGGAACGGAAAGGTCTTTTGCTTCGCCGTGGTCGTCGCCATCATTTATAATCCACCAACAATCTAGTACTTATTGCATTTCTATAAGATTAGAGCAATTGGATGAGAAGTAATCAAGTCAAGAAAGTAGTCATCCTCCCTAAAACCTACTCTTTTTCTTTTGTGTGCATTCAACATGTTTGGTACGCAAGTGGATGGTTTAGATTAATTTCGCTGTGTCAACTGTCCGAGCTAAATGTCACCTCTTATTACTTTTCCCATCCCTCATCCCTTTATCTTGTTACATTTAAATCCTCCATTCACATTTAAGGAATGCAAATTTGTATCTAGCCCAAACTTCATTTTGTGGATACAAGAAGCTATTGACCGTTTCAAGGATTTCCAATAATTTATTTATTTTATTAAATTGGATTGAGCAAGTTTTATGAAACAGTTATGGCCTGAATCAGATGAATTGCTTTCCTGCTTTCTATTATTAAAGATGAACTTCAAGTAAGCTCACAGTGAATTACGGAAACGCTTCAACTTGATTATTGTTAAACTTTCGTCCCTAATTTCCGGTGTTCAAATGAAATGAAATGGTGTTATTAGAAAATGAATTGCAGCGGATCTTGCATTGGCTACATTTTATTAAACCTTATCTGCACTATCTTGAACTTTCATTAACATTTCTCTTAGGAGGGGAGCTTGCGAGGTTGATAATAACAGATATTGGTGCCCTTTGGATATGTGGTAGGGTCCCATGAGTGTACTAAAACCCTGAAGTGGTTTGACTCCATGGCCACATTTGCGCCCGCCACACCCACTCAAAAATGCCCAAAAAACGCTTTCACTCCAGTTTTCACTCACTCAAATCCACGCCAAAAATCCAATTTTACTCGGATTTTGAAATTTCTTTCACCATTACACTCCCAGATAGTTGCTTTCTTCTATCCAATATCAAACTCAATTTTGCTGATGATTATTTCGCAGGCATAATTTGCGTTGTTGATTACTACAACAATCGTCATTCAAAATTTCAAATTTTAAAAATACTAAAAATTTCGAAAAAATTGAGTTTGATGTTGGATTGCAGGAAGCAACTATCTGGGAGTGTAATTGTGAAAGAAATTTCAAAATCCGAGTAAAATTAGATTTTTGGCGTGGATTTGAGTGAGTGAAAAGTGGGGTGAAAGCGTTTTTTGGACATTTTTGAGTGGGTGTGGCGGGCGCAAATGTGGCCATGGAGTCAAACTACTTCAGGGTTTTAGTACACTCATGGGTCCCTACCACATATCCAAAGGGCACCAATATCTGTTATTATCAACCTCGCAAGCTCCCCTCCTTAGCAAGTATTTGCTGCCTATGACTTTTTTGTGGTTATCAATAAACCAATTGATATGTTTTATTTGCATGCACTTTCTTCACTTTCTTGTCGCATCAAGTCTATAAACCTGACTGATTCATCAAATTATGCATGATTATCATATCATTCAGGTTATCTAAGAATGCTATATTTCGAAGATTGTAGTGTTGTTAGAATTATTGTTATTGATGCTTCATAGCTAGAGTCATCATCATGACGCTTTTTTTGCTAAGAATAGAAGTTCACTTCACTCACCCGAAAGTCCGACAACGGCAATATTGTAGACCCTCGTTGAGTCACCTCGTCTTGACATCATCTTGGTTGGTTCCACTTAATTATCCACACTTTTATCAAACTAAGAACTTGACAATTTCAAAGATAACGACTTGGCAAATTATTCGCAAATCAACATGCTCGGCGTGATTAGGACGGTGATGAGAACAATGTCGTATAGTTTATGTCATCTTCTTGTCACCATATCCATTGGTGTGAATCCGATAAGAATTACACTATGATGGACACTAACAACATGCACTTATCGTTAATAATATGTATACATATAGAAGTGGTAAGAATAGTAAGGATTATTATTAAGCCACTTTAATGTAAAATGCGCGTCAATCAATTAAACGCCTAGAACTATTTTTGGCAAATACAAAACCACTTCTCACTGCTTTGGTTTGTTTGTACTTTCGACTGACTAAATCAATAACGTTGGATTCTGATAATAATCAGTATATATCAGCTAATCGATATCCGATGTTCCTTTTTGACGAAGAATTGTGATAATGAATATTCTAGGACTACATCATATAGAACTAGGCTCGATTCACTCTGCGTTATCCATCGACTTATTAATTTAATAACTTTGCGAGATGTTAGGCTCTACGAAGAATTATGTAACTCCCGTTCTTCCAGCAAAACAACTGTAAAAATAAAGATGTTTTGCAATAAACAATACAAATAGTTATGTAATCATCATCGAACTCCACCCCAATAATTCAATTAAATTAATGGGACTTGGTATATAACCAAAGGTTTAGAAAATATTTTGCATTTTTAATACAATTATGTAAAGTTATATTTCCCGTTAAAATACAAAAATTATTTTTCCACGCTCTCATAAAGTATATTATCCCACTAATTTTATTGAACAACTTTTGATGAAACACGCCGACTGAATTTTTTTTTTCTTTTAAAATCTTACTTTATTTGTTGTTGTCGTTTGTCACTATCCTAAATAAACTAGGAGAGAGAGAGAAAACAACAGAGAGAGAAAGAGTACTTCACTTTGCCACCAGTTTGTCTTTGCCTGCATCATCCTAAGATTTAGTTGCACATCATCGTTATTTCGTGTGCCGGAGCAATCTGCTTCTGCTGGACAAAGAGTGCATGAAGCGAGTCTTTCTTTCTTTCGCTTGGGTGAGGAGAAGGTTGCTTGGTGTTTAGCGGCGGAAGGGCAGAGTGTGACTGGCAAGGCTGGCTGGCTAGGAGAGTCATTGAGGTTGCTCTGCTATTGATTTCTCTCCTTTGAGCCGGACGGTTTGCGCTGCGTAACATGCATTATCGATCCCTCAGCAATTTCAAAACTCACGCCACACTCACCCCCTCCTTTCTCCGGGTAGTACCACCAGCCGATACCCGGGTAAGCAAAGGCTCCCTCCCCCTCCAGACAAGCACTGATGGTGCAGCAGGGTCCCTCCTCTCTGCCTGCAGGATGAGGATGATGACGGCCGCGACGACGACTGAGTGGGTGGACGCGTAGATGGAATTTGTGGACGGAGATTACGTGAGAATATTAAAGTGAAAGTTAGGTGAAAGCATATTCCGAGCGATGAGAACGTGCAAGGCGACGAAAGCTGTGCGTCATGCTTTAAAAAAAAGTTTTGCTCGTTCACAAATAAAAAATGTCCCATGTCCTGTCCTAGAGGAATTACGGTGAATTCGTGAAAAGGTCTTCTATTAACTGAGCAGTGCAGTAGTTCGGCTATGGCGTAGGTTACGTATTCGTTTCAATTTCACGAGAGGAGGAATTAATTGGCTTATCATCATCATGCAAACAAACGGTCATTTCCCTTTCATGTACTTTCTCAAAACTTCCCACACAGGAATTCCAGGGGGCTGGAGGAGCAGCTCTTTTACACCTTGATAAGTAACACCACAACGTGTTTTGTATTCGTGGTGATGATAATACCGTGAGAATGTGAGAAGAAAGAGTTGAGGCAGAGTGGAGATCTCATTAGTAGAGCCGATCCACGCAACATTATTCCACCTCATAAAGTTACACAAGTTACAGGCATCTGCTTCCCACATGCTTCTTCTTCTTCCTTCCTTTCTTTCTTTCTTGTGGGGTAAATACAAGCGTGGCAAAATGTCCTCAGACTACTGGACCAATTTTTAAGCCTCTTCGGATGTAAAAATAGCTATTGCATTTGCATTAACAACACTTCCGCTAAGACTTTAATAGATGACATGACACCCAAACTTTGGCATGGCATTTACTTATCTACTTACTTACCATGCTCGCGCAATACAACTTAGCTTCATCACTCCATATGCTAATGATACAATAAATACGCTTGTTTTCCAAACCCCCTTATGTAAGTACCTGCTTACTACTTACTAGACACGAGCCAGTATGCGAGTGCTTTGAAAGAGCTAATTAATGAGGTATTAAAATTCACAGTGCATAAACTGCTTCTAACTATTTATTATGTGGAGGAAGGTGGAATTAGTGTGGAATTTATGTGCATAATAATAATTAAATTGCAGTGCATAAAAGGAATTTCGGGTAATGATGAGTAACTTTCTCACTCAATGTTTTTTAAACGCAGTTTTGATAGTGTGGAATTAAGGTATATGTACATATTCAAGCGGTCTTTTCTGTCAAGAAATTGTAGTATTTATGAACTTTTCCAATTACAAAATTTTGGCAAAGTTGTTCGTAGAAGAAGTGTCAAATAAATAAACTTTTGTATGAATACAAAAGATGACTTGAATGGGGTCCCAAAAACTTATGTGTCAGGGTCGCCTGAATCGTATTCTTTCTTTTAATATATAAAGCCAATTATTTCATGTAGTTTTTGTTTACACGAATAAATGTTGCATTTTATTTAAATAATATTTTTAATCTTTCAGCAGTATTTAAATCATGGCATAATTATAGCATAATTTGTATTCTTCCGTTTTTTATACAAGTTGTGTTTGGAATTGTAATTGTATGAATTGATTGTAAATATATGTAGCAATAAAGGGTTGCAATTCCCTAAATTTATTTGAGTCCCAAAAAACGTATGACAAAAACGATTCTGAGTGTTGTGATTGTGGGAGAGTGAGTGTTGAAGCACGATGAGTTTGATTTTTTTGCTCTATGTGTTTTTATCCTAGTTTGCATGTCAGTTGCACAAAGACAAAGGAAGACAAAGGGCTCGAGTCAAAAAAACCAATCAACCAACGAACGGAACAAATCGGTTTTTGCTTTGTTCACGACAACTTTGATGTTCGCAAAATGTTATACACAAAATTAAATACGTTCAAAATTCCACGAACGCACGCGACAAGTAAATAAATACGTATGTATGTAGAATAAATATTTATTTTTATAGCGACCTTTCATCAAAACTTCAATAACATAAGTCAGAAAAGAGTTTCATCTCAACTTCTAAAATTCGCATGCATATTTAAGTATTAAAGCAAACATTCCATTTATTTTTAGCCATCGCCAGTGTAATTGCTCTTATGTATGTATGACACAAAATCTTAAGTATTTATTGAATTTTAATTAATTGTAATGAAAGTACACATGCAATATTGGATAACCATATTTACTCGAAAACAATCCTCGCATTGCATCTTGGTAGACATTTTCAAGAATATAATATTTGTAAGGAGCTAGAGCGACTGGATGCTTCTGGTGGATATATCTTCGTCGGGGGGAACCGTGTGTGACGAGTGGTTGAAAAAATATCGTCTGAAAAATAATGAGGAATATTGTGGGGACGATGTATGTACATATTGTGAATGTTGATGTTTGCCTTTGAGTTTGCTTTCATCTTGAGCAAAGCCCACTGGAAGTTGTGCCGTTGCGAGGATAACAAGTGGATTTCGGTTGAGCGCCACACACGGCTGCTCGTCTTCCTCCCCTTTGGACCACCGACGACCAGCCCTGAGCCAAACCAAGAGAGCTGCTCTTTCTCCACGCTTTCTCCACCGCTGCTCCTCCTGCTTGACAAACGAGCCTCCTCACTCCACCACCACCGCGGTCATCACCATCATCTGCCCCGGCTTTCTCTCCTACCTCCGCACACTCCTCACGTCCTCTGCTCAGATATGCGCCCAACTGTGGGGATTTGTGTGGCTGGGAGAAAAATAATGGACAAGTGAAAGCACTATAAAACTCCCGATCAAGGTCTGTCATCAATTGACCGACTCAGTTAAATGAGGCCTCGTGGCTCATCAAGGTTGCTGTATTATGCATTGAGCTGAACGAATGCTAAGCGTGATATCGGTAGAAACAAATACAAGTTGACAGATGGATATTAAAGTCTAAAATAATTTGACTGGGATCACTTTCACCGAGGTATTTATGGGGAAAGAAAGGTGCCTAAGAAAGGAGTATTGAATAACATTATGTGTTCCACATTGACTTGCGAAATGGCAACTTTTCCTGTTATACAATTTGCAGAAAGGGATTGCATGGATATATGTACATGAATGGAAAGGAGGTCGTATCGCAGTTAACTCTCGGAAGGCCCAGCTCTGAAAGCTTCATCATCATGTCACCTATTCACCTTGTCTCACTTCTTTTTCTCATACATACTTTCACAAAAGCAGGCAAACACACACGGGGAGCATGAACTGGGACGAGGAGGATAAGATGACGCATATTGATGGTGTCCAATCAACTTTGGCTTTACATATTCCAACATTTCACCACCTCCGCCTCCTTCCCAAGCTTCTCCGTTCTACGGAAGGGAGGAGGAAGAAACGTCAGAAAGGAAGAGAGAAAGAAAGAGACTTGAATTGAAAGTCGGTATAGTTTTTGTATGGTTCCCCTGTTACACAAACCTTGTGTGTTTCTTCATCCGTCCAGGCGAGCAGGTGCGAATGAATGCAAGCACACATAATACCTGGAACGGTTCCAACAAAACAAACGATTAGTAATTAAAACGCCGCATTTGTGAAATATTAGTGAAAATTAGTCCAATGATCGACCATTAGTATAGGCAAAAGTAAACTACTTTTCAAATGATCACTATGATCCGTTGATCTTCAAACTGACCCCAATTACATTTTGGCTTCTTCAACGTTACTTTTGAACTAAAACTTTACTCCAGAGTAGATCAATAGGACTTACAACTTGTTAAATTGCCTTCGTTAAGAAATACCTGACATTCCATTTCTTACAATGCAGACAATCTAACCCGTCGTAACTTTATTTGAGTACTTTTCTCGTTCCAATAAGCAAATAGATACGAGAACGGAAAGTTCTAGTTTCATAAATATACAAACAATTTCTACAATTTTGTCAGCATAATTATGATTACTCAGAGAAGCAATTTGCTTGTTTTGTCACTGACCCAATTCTAGTAAAACTCAAGCGTAATGATTACAGAAAACAAATTCAGCATGCATTGAGTCAATTTGTTCGGCTGTAGAAATGAGAAGTAACAAGTTTCATCGAGCTGTTTTCAGACATTATAATCTCAGCAGATTTGCATTGTGTCGGAGACGGTTGCAAACGCGTGTAGCTGTGAAAGTGTGAACTTCAACCATCACGAAAGTCTTTCATCGTGTGCTATCGCCGTTTGCAGTCCTTCCTGACTCACAGTTACAGTCCAACGAGTACTGGTTGCAACAAAGGGCAACGAACAATGACCGTACTATTACAAATATCGCTCTGATATTGGCTGCTAGTCGGAGATATTCCTATGCAGATTCGATTTTGAAGCGGAGTATGTATTACCCAGTTCTGAATGCAAAATTCTAATGAGACTATTACGTAAGACTCAACCACCTTAAAAATATTTATCATGTACTGATCTCCCTGACAGAAAGATTGAGTAATTATATAATTCTAGTTTCGAATAAGATAAAAAAAACGTGGAGAAAGCATGGCTCATATTGATCTTGTCGGGTTGCTGTTAAATGTTGAATGTGTGTGTGAAGTGGGAACCTATGCTTTTCTCCGAATTGTTTCCTTTCTCCACTCCTCGACTTTCTGCGGAGAGGAGCGAGCGAGTTTGGTGCGAGCGAGTTGCCGGAGAGAGAACCACTCCAAAAAGGGAATCCTCTAAATTATACATCTTATCTTTAATCTCTTGGCGAAAATAATGATGGGATTCGAACTGAAAGAAGTTGCTACAACGAACTCATTCCTCCATTCCTCCCACTTTCTCCAGAAAGAAGAGATCCACCACTAGCACGCCTCCACTTACATGCATTTATTACCGCAAACCAGTGGAAATTAATCCGGACAGA